CTAGGTTAATTATTCTATCACAACAAAATTGCGAACTGCTCAAACATGGGCGTAAAGAAGCGGGTCTTCACCAGCTCCGGGTCCAGCGGTCCCCAGACTAGGAAAATTTTAAACAAAATTCTTCACTCTTATGCTCCACAGAAGGTGAAATCAGGTCCACAATGGTCAGGTATTAGGTAATGACCCTACTAATCTTTAAAAAGCATCGCAATGGTTGGTAGTCAGGTCAGAGGGTAAGGTGACCCAACCTTCTCACCTGGTTACAGATCTTCTTAATTACAAAATTGTCCAGTTTGTACACGCCATTACTCAAATTCATGTTGACTGCTTCGATATGTTTAATAAGACTAGATTCTATAATGTTCCTACTGTCAATTGAATTACAAGGTAATATTGAGGAGGCATTATCCCAGTCAATGCAATGCTTATTATCCCTCAGATGAACAAACAGAGCATTGGATTCCTGGTCTGTCCTAACACTATATTTATGTTGTTTAAGTCTAGTTACAAGATCTTTACCTGTCTGGCCTATATATATATGTAACCGGTCGGAATGATCTCACTTAATTATTGTTTTTTTTTAGTATAGTGGATGGTAATGCAGTGGAAGCGCCCCTCAGAGAAAATCCCGAACCAGCACAAACACAATTAATTTTAAAATATTCCCCGTGACCGTGGAAAGCTTGCACCTGTGATTGGGGTAAATGAGATACACTATAAAAGATGACACTTCCCTTCCCTCCAACACTACAAACACAATCAATAATGGTATACCAACACCAGCGCACCTCTTAGCATGGCTTAGAAAAATACAATGGGGAACAAAAGTTATACATGGTATAAAAAAATATTAAGAAATATTAAATGCATTATGGGAAGACTACTAAGGCAACAGTACTACTTACACCAGAATGAGGAACTCATCTGTAACAGTTCCTTCGTTATCTTACATCACTTAGTGGCACACAAAACATTAGAAAAACATCACTTGCACCAATGAACATACCTTAAGGGCATCCGACAAAATAATAGCAATCATTGAGAAATAGAAATCCCGATTTTAGTCATACTACACAAGAACATGGATCACTCATAGCCTGTCTGGGATGACCCACAAAATACAATAATCCTAACTGTCCTAGAACCCGAAGGTTGTAACTACTATCCTGCCGAGGGGCAGGCATTTACAAGAAACCGAGAAAATCACTCATGACCCATCAGGGAGGCGGGTGCTCCCCTTTTTTTTCATTATTCTCTCTAGATTTCAGGAGTCATGAAAGTTTTTCTCCACCAATACCCGTAACATGCTTCACACACACCTTACCACCATCACCCGTAACATGCTTCACCCCTATGCTCAGAGCATACCCATACTTAAGGTGTTACAGTTTGTCATCAACCTTGAAGAAGACCCCTACGTCCCCCGTGTGCAACCAACCATGAGGAGCGTTGATTATACACCTGGACTTGGTTAAAATGGTCACATACACCCAACCCTGGGGAGATAAATGTCTCTAAGTACCCACTAGCCTCCTAGTCTCAGTATGTGACCTTTCCTTCACTCAGGCGCAGGGCCGGCCTTAGGAGGTGCGGGGCCCAATTGGGAAAAATTTTGGTGGGTATACATCTAATATGTCTATATTCGTAGGTTTTATTTACCTAGATTTATGTATGTAAAACAGGGGTCGGGGAAATTTTTTAGTATTACCCAAAAAATTTATTTGGAAAAAATGGAATTACCTCTAGATTTGAAAAAAAAAGCCACGTCTGTTTACACATGTGTCACTTATTTATTCATTTATTTAAAATAATACTCGTACTGTCTGTAAATATGACTGAATAAAGCAGAAAACATATAACACCTGCCTATCACTTCTTATGAAAAGCCGTAACTGAAGGAATGCTTGAAAAAATTAATTCATCTACATTGTTACAGTTAATGATAAACGATCATCTTTTACCTGATGTTTTATGAACATTTTGTACTGCTCTTTACAGTAATCTTCCAAAAATCAGTGACTTCATATTTCAGATATAAGGTTTATATCTTGGTCACTAAAACTTACCTCATTTATGGGTCCGTGACACAAAATTAATCAGCTAGTAGTAAGATCCAGTAGTCCCGAGCTGTATCGTACCAAACATGGGGGAATTGTCGTGCTTCTAGAGTCATACACCCTCAGTTTTTTTCCCGCCATGGCTCATATGACAAATAAGCTACCCGTTCGGATAGTCGTTTTTGTTTTGACCTTTATTGTGCAGTGTTAGTACAGGCGGAGACTGGGGTACCTGGATGGGTTATTTGATAGTCTATAAGTACCCCTAAAAGATCACAGCTCAAGGTTGAAGAAGCCAAAAATCCATAAAATTCTAAAGGCAAACTTTTTCGGAGTGAGACTTGTAAACTTTGGAACAATCTGCCAGAGAGTGTTGTGACGGCACTGAGTGTGAGCTGTTTCAAGACCCAACACAGATACATTCTTAAGCCAGTGCATGGCTAACGAGCAGTGGTGAAGAGGATATAAGTAAAAGTAAGCGTTCATATCTGTGGATGGATTTATATCAAATTTGAGCACTTTATTTAGGCTCATCCAATAGTGTTCCCATTAAACTCTTTAAAACCTAAGATCGTTATCATAATTTCCTGGTTGGTTGAGTTAGTATATATACAAAATACACCAAAATACCACCTTTGCATAATGAAAGAGGAAACTAAGAAAATAAACCATGAAATTGCTTTATTACATTTATTGTTACATGGGCGTAGTTTTTAATCAGTGAATATACTGGTGAAGGTTCAGCTTTAAAATAGTCATAGTATGTTTAAGTGTTATCCAGGAAACAGAAGCTCTCTCAGGGTAGGAAGACAATAGATAGTCAAGATTTTTCTAAGTATTAAAATGGTAAGGTCGAATTACAGTACTTAGAGCAGTATTTTGAGTTCATTGTGTTTGACATGGTTACGCTTTGCTTCTGAGATACTTGTGTGTCTAGGATGGCCGAGCCTTATATTTTGAGTTATATGCGTGCTAGAATAACCAAGCCTAATTTCTGTTACGTGCGTGTTTGGGATGGATAAAGGCTTCCTCCCTCAGGTTAGGTGTTCGCGCCGGACGAGCCTCCGTGTGGGGTAAGCAAGAGAAGCTACAGTCCCTTCTTTAAGATATACTCGACCCACAAGTAATCGTAGACCCACTCAGGGAAATGCTGATTCAGGAACACGGCGAGGTAAATAGTAATATCCATGGGCTGGTAGCGACTCTGCGGGTACTTCTGCGTGAGGGCGTCAGTCATTGCAGTCAGCACCTCACTCACGTCCGGGTTCTGGCAGGGGAAGGAGCATAAGTTGTAGTGCAGTATATCAAAGTTAGAAGAAACTTTACGTTGCAAACAATGTACAAATGAGGGACGGACTTTACAGCTGTCCAAATGACTTGTAGGGATGCAGCACAACTACAATAAAGCGCTCACAAGACTATACTCACTGATTGCATACCATTATATACCAGTTACATCATTAAATATATCGGCCAAACTTAACCGAGAGTGGTTGGTGTTGTCATACTTACCCCGGAACGTGTGATATTCAGCTGAAAGTTAATGGTTTCATCGAAGAAATCTTTACCATAGGCAGTCTTGACCTCTTCGTCCATGGCTGCCCACATGGCCTTCCCGTCACGCCTCACGTCACTCTCGCGGAAGATGCCCGTTCCTGTGGTGGTGGAGGAAAGTACTGAGCAATGTTACTTCTGGTGGTGATGGAGGGGAGTAGTGAGGGAGGTATTGGTGGTGATGGAGGGGAGGAGTGAGGGAGATATTGATAGTGATAGAGGGGGAGTAGTGAGGGAGATATTGGTAGTAAGAAAGAAAGAGAGAAAAAAAATAATGCAGAGATTGCAATAACGAAATTAGACATATGAAATAACGAAGTGTATACTGTATATAAAGGCAAATGGTACGATAAAAATAAATAATTAAAATCAATATATGGATCACCTGAAGATTTAACACCCTAGATTATTTCACCTGAATTATCACCCTAACGCTAACTTAACCCTTATGTGACATTAGGGTGTTTAATCTTGAGGTGATGCCAGATGCTTACCCGCTGTGAAGTTGCCAGGTTCAATGAGGCAAACGTCAATACCAAATCGTCTCATCTCGTTTCTGTGGAAGATGAGTTGGTTAACGTCTTGAGAGGAGTACACCTTTTCACATAAACGTTGAGACATTGTTATATACTTATTTGACATATTTCATAACCGAATGACAGAACACATATCGAATGACATTCTAAGATAACTGTTCGTTCATGCTAACAGAAATGATTGACAAAGGTTATGAAATTGACAGACGTGAACAATATGCAGACTGTCGGTTTATTGTTCACGTCTGTCAATTTCATAACCTTTGTCAATCATTTCTGTTAGCATGAACGAACAGTTATCTTAGAATGTCATTCGATATGTGTTCTGTCATTCGGTTATGAAATATGTCAAATAGGTATATAACAATGTCTCAACGTATATGTGAAAAGGTTTACTGTGAACTTTAACCCATATATTCAGTTTTATTCAGTAATATCGTCATAGAAGTTTACACTGAAGTTAATTATCATTATTATGACAAGACATTCTAACTAAAGAGACATTTTTTTTTACTAAATATTTTTTTTATTAATTTGAATTTCCAAGTTATTAATATTAAATTGATTCTGTTATTATAGTGGTTTCGGTAAAAATAGTTTCGGTTTTGTTGTCCACTAAGACACTCACCTGAGTCCGTCATTGAAGCCCTCGAGGGCGTGCTTGTTGAGGTCATAGGTGGTGCCTATAGGGATGTGGAGGCGGCCCCGCGCGCTGCCCATGGACACAATTCGACCTGTAGTCATTCATGTTATTTAAGTCAAATGTATTCGGAAATATTATATATTTTGCACAAAAGAAAAAATAAATCCTTTGTAACCAGAACAGACAGAAATATTAAAACCTATACTTCCTTGGGTGTGTGACAGTGTGTGTGTGTGTGGCGGCCTGCTTACCCTTCGCCTTCCTGATGAGAGGAAGGAAGGTCTTGGTGACGGCGATGGTCCCGAAGATGTTGACGTCACTAATCTTACGACAAGTTTCCATGGTCACCCACTCGACAGCCCCGTGTGTGCAGATAGCGGCGTTGTTCACCAATCCCCACAGCACCTCTATCAACATCACAGGGATTACTTCTCCTCTGCCCCTTATACAATGGCGATGGTATTTTTTATTTTATTTTTTTTGTTAGGTTAAGGTGGGGAAAGGATGGAAGGCATGCTGGGGCTCAAGGCACAGCCAGACATGAGGGAATTGAGGGATGGAGAAGTCACAACATATAGTCGTGGGAGGAAAGGTTGGAAAAGAAGTTTAAGAATTAAACAGAGGGGGACGACACCCCTTGTTTTACATATTACAGAGTTTGTTGGCTAACTAAGCTAACCTAGGATTTAGAATGAGGTTGCACAATGGTTATTTTAGAAGACAATGACTAGATTGATTTTACATTTACAAGTTTATTAACATCTTATACTGTATTACGTTATGGACTCACTTGATTGTGACTTGTTAAATGTGAATTTATATCATCTAAGTTTTAATCTAAGATGGATCACCGTGGCGGACATAGATGGGTCGCGGGTTGGGTTGTTGTAGTGCGGGCAGACTCCGGGGCCACCAGGCGTGGGGTCTCCCTCCGTTGATGTCTTCCCCGCGTAGGTGGTCTGGGCTGTGAGGTCGTCCAGGAGCTTGTCCCAAACCTTCTTCCCTAGGCGATGAAACCTGAAGTTGAGGGCCTCTGTTTTATTTCTTAGGTGGATGGTTCCACTGTCTCCTGGTAGGGTGGCGCTTGGCCACTGGCTGACCTTAAACACTTGTTTTGGAAGCTCTGTAGTTGTTGTACTCTAGTCTTCCCGAGTGTGACGAGTGGTATAGATGGGTACTCCAACACAGGCCTCACCAGCGCCTTGTACAGGTGAACTTGTATCTTCTCAGGCATCAATTTAAAACTTTTTAATTTGGCTGCGGCGACTTTGGCTTTATTTAGTCTGTCCTTCACGTGGGGAATGATGCCCGTCCGAGAAATGATGAGGCCGAGCAACCTGCCTTGTTTAGAGTACTCAATCTCTTCGTCGTCGATCATCAATGGGGCCGGTTTGAATTTCGCAATGGGTATGACCTCAAATTTCGTTTTGTTTGTTTTTATTTTCCATTTGTTTTCATACTCCGAGATCTCCTCTATTGCCCGAGCAGTGAGTCGCGCCATCCTTGCTGTGGACCTTCCTGGGCAGGTGACGATCTGTGTTACATCGTCGGCATACATGACGTACTCGCTGCCGACGATTGGGGTAGGCAGGTCAGCCGTGTAGAGTGTGTAAAGGGTTGGTGAGAGACAAGAGCCCTGAGGCACGCCGCTCGATAGTGAGAATTCTTCTCCAAAATGTTCTTGCATCTTGATTTTGGCTCTGCGGTCCATAATGAAGTTACACAGCAGGCGCGTCAGATTTTCGGGTAGCCCCAGTTGTATGATCTTATATTGCAGCCCTGCGTGCCAAACTTTGTCAAACGCTTTGCTGACGTCCTTCAGTACTATATTGCACTGCAGGCGGCCAGTCATGGCACTGGCGATCTGCTCGTAGGCCTGAGCTATGGCGGTGGATGTGCCTTTGTACTGGCGGAAGCCGAACTGGCGGGGATTATGCACGTCTTCGTCCTCCAGATACATCCGCAATCGCTTGTTGACTATTTTTTCGAAGATTTTGGCAGATACCTCTAGCAGCGATATTGGTCGAAAGTTTTCGACTTTGTTTGGAGGCTTCCCTGCTTTTGGTATGAGGCGAATAACGGCAATTTTGAACATCTTAGGGAAGTATCCAGAGGCGAGGCAGGCGTTGAATATATGAGCAAGCCTCTCTATCATGTTGTCGGGGAGTTGAGCCAGGATCTTCTTGTTAATGTGACTTTGACCAGGTGATTTGTTTTTAAACCCTTTTATGACGGCTGACACATCTGCAGGAACTATGCGCTCCGTCAGGTAGCTTCCGTCAACCAGTCTAGTGAAGTCAGCCCGTGGGAGCGGCTGGAGCAGGAGCTGATGGTCCTGCAACTGACCTAAAATGTCCTCCTCAAACTCCCTGTCGAAGCCCTCGTTCTCCTGTTCACTAATGGTAAAGATCTTTCGTAAATATCGCCGATGTAGTTGTTCTTGGTTTTCTTCCTCGAATATTTTTACGTTGTTTTGGTCGAGCAGGTAAGGGACCGTGCTAGAGGTGGAACCCATCAGTCGCTTGATCCCTTTCCAGAAGGCAGCAGAATCGCGGTAATTGTTGGCTGCCTCCCACACCAAGGCGGCCCACTTTTGTTCATGTAGACGTTTGCTCTCGTGCTGGATGTCCGTCTGTAGCTCTCGGTACCGGTCTCTCAGCTCCTGCGTCCACCCGCGGATACTGGCTAGCTGTCTCACGTGAGCGTACTGGACACTGAGCTGCCTCAGCTGGTAACTAGTGTGAGGGTGGGGAATGGTCCTGTAACTGGTGGTCGGGATGTTGTTGTCCATCTCCGTCTTCACATCCTTATACCATTGTTCGACCGCGTCGTCGATGTCATTGGGGCTGGCTTCTTCCAGGTTTCTCCCCTGCTTGAGACTGAGAGACTCCTTGAGACTGAGAGACTCCTTGAGACTGAGAGACTCCCAGTCTGCCCGTTTGAGGTTTGACCTGATGTTGGCGGGGATCATAATGAGAGCGTCACGACGACTGGCAGGTGATCGCTGGTACTGATGGGTCCGGCGGTAACGTGCCTGTTCAGGACGGCCTCGTTGTTAGAGAGGATTATGTCGGGTGTTGTGGCACTGGCACGTCTGATCAATGTCGGGAAATCTGGCCCGAGGTGTTGCAGTTTTCCCCTTCTGATGTTGTCATACAGCGCCACACCGACGTTGTTCTCATTACCGTGTCCTATTATGGCGTGGCGCGCATTTAAGTCCCCTATGATGTATGTTGGTTTTCTGTGGCGTAGCAACTGGTTTAGGTCTTGTTCGGGTAAGTAAGGACGTCTGGGAGGTAGGTACATTGTGCAAATGATAACAGGTCTCCTAGTTGTCTGCACCTGCACTCCCAGAACTGAATCCTCGAAGTCTAGCAACACTCTGTGACTCAGCCGTGACCTGATGGACACAGCGACACCATCGTTCAGCTCACCCGTCATGTTCCTCTGGTATACAGTGTAGCCAAAAAATTTCAGCTTACTTTCATCCTTTATGCCAGTGCTGTTTAACAGAATGATGTCTGGGTCTAATTGATAGTATAAGTTAGACAGTTCGTTACGTCTATTAAAGGACCAGTGTAGGACATTAAGTTTGACAATTTTCATCCTGCTAACGACTGCCATTTCGGAGACTGTAGCTTGGGGCGTCGCTTGGAGTGTTTGCTCGGCTTCTGCCATTTCTAGGGGGACGGAACTTCTCAGCAGAACCTTCGGACATCTGCTTGTCAGTCAATGGCGGGCCCTCGAACTTCTCGTCACCCGAGTGCAGGAAGGTGTTCAGGTCCTGGGCCTGCGTGTCGTAGTAATCAACTGACGCTGCAGCTCGAGAGTCTTGTTCCTCTGTGGGGTGAGTCGCAGCCATTGACTGTGGTTGCAGTCCGATGGTCACTGTCGTCGCTGGGAGTGCATGTAATGGGATCGCGAGCATTTACGGTGTCGTTGGAGCTGTGATCCCAGGAGGACTGACTGGCCACGTCGGGATTGCGGTTATACTGACTTTTGCCTAAGTCAAGGAGATCATGGTCTATTTCTGGCGTGGGTTGAGGTCGTCGATAAGTCATTGAGTGGGTTACTGCCTTAAGGATTTCTTTTGAAGGGACTTTGTCGCTAATTTCAACAGGTGCAATGTTGTTCCTGGTTAGTGTCTCGTTGAGGTGTTTCGAGAATGAACCTGGATGAACCATGTTCATGTGATGGGCATGCAGGTAAGACAAGTATATAGTGGTGGCTTTGGACTCGTCCAGTTGTGGAGAGGAGACGCTCCTGATGCTCTCGGCCACTGCGTCCCTCATGGCGCCCAGCGACTCAGTAACTGCCTGTTTTATTGAGTCCTTGATGGTTCTTATCTCTGATTGCAGGACTTCCATGGTCTCGCTGACATTGTTGAGCTTTTGGGAGTCTGCTTGAGTTTCTTTTAGAGCGTGTTTTAGGGTTTGGCTGTAAGCCATGATCGTCGACTGAGTGGTCCTTTCTATGGTGTTAGAAATTTCCCTGGTTTCTTTGTGTTTGGTTATTTCGGTCAGTTTCTTCTCTGTTTCTTGAAGTACCTGTTTCCTGACCAGGCAGGTGGCAGAGAAGGTCCTGTGGTCACCCTCGCAGACGACACACTTTTTTATGGTGCTACGGCAGTCTTTGTAGAAGTACTGATCAGATGAACACTCAGAGCATATGACCCCTTGCATGGGACAGTTCTTGGTCATGTGGTCATTGTATTTATAGCACTTCATACATTGTTGGATGGGCGTATACTTTTCATATTCTATTTGGTGGGATGAGATGGAAGTGCCATATGCATAGAGCCCCTTCTCCTTCATTCTTTTTGCATCCGTTGTGTCTGCAAAGCGTACCTTGATTATATTATGGGCATACATAGGATACATCTCCACAACCTTGACATTGTTTTACTTTTGTATTTCATCTCTTATTTCTTCTGCGTTATTTTCCACTACATCTTTGTCTAACTTCTTACATACAAGGGTGAGCTTGGCGCCGTATACCCGTGGGACAATGACCTCGTAACCGTTAGTTTTCATTTTGTCCATGGCACTAGACTTAATTAGTTTATCAGCATCTTCATTTGTTTCTGTGAAGATGGTGTAACCATCTTTCATATCCACAAGTCTATTTATTCTCACCCTTAGGTCGCTCAATAGCCTTTTTAGCCCTATCCGAGACCCCTGGGTCGGGGTTCCGGAGATCTTCACTCTCACTTTGGCAATGGTCAGTAACATACATGAATGAATGAATGAAAATTCTACCTAATCCGTCCACCTCAGCTAAACCCCATGGATGGCGCTCCTTCTGTCCGCTTGCTGGGCGAGTAAAGACGGGTCTAGGGGTAGGGTGAACAGACAATCCCCTGGCGGGGGCCTAGCCAAGCCCTAACACCTAGCAGTGACAGGTTATGAAGCACTGTCGAATCCCTAACAGAAAATGTTGCCACCCTTACTGTCTCGACTCAGCAGCCCTCTGAGGGCCCCCCTTGAGGCTCTGCCCGCAGGGTTCGCGTCGTTACCAAACAGCAGGGACTCTAGGCGAAAGGATAGGGTAGGGAAGAAGCGCAGTGTACAATAATGATATCCATGTACAACTACATGATAAAGCAGTCAGAACGGACCCAAAGCGAAAAACAAGGCAGACAGTCGTAATGGTCAGCGATTTGAACTGAGCAGGGAGCGACGCGTATCACGTCCGATCGCTCTGATGGCGATGGTACAAAACAATAAGGAAACGTTGTTACGAGTATCGGAATAAGAACCAATGATTAGATGTTATGCTTAAAATGTAGTATCATTGGTTTCAACGTGTTAGATAAAACAAAGCAGAGTTTTTGTGTTAGTCTCGAATACAAATGAGTGAGCGTTTGATAGCTATTTGTGGATTCGCAAGTTGAACGTGTTTTGTTTTTGACGTCATTTCTGCCACCTCTACCCGGTTAGTTTTACCTCTCAGAGCCGGGTGGCCTTAGTATTGGGTTGGCAATTGTAAGATAAGTATCTCCTCTCCTATTGTAAATTTCTAGTGGTATACTGTGTTAACCTTGCTCGACTTTTGAGAACACCAAGTAATTACATAGTGATTTATATGTGAGACTGTGTGTAGTCATACTGTAGAATTCAACGGTAAATACCTTACTTGTTTATGAGTTACGTGTGTTGGATAACCACGTTGTTTAGGGTAGTGTCTAGACTAAATAAGTGTTTAATCATTACGTTGATGTTCTTTATTTTGTCACTCGGTTGAGTAGTTCATTTGTTCAGTATTAATTTGTATTTATTTATTTTTGTACATACGGTTATACTTATTGTTTGTTTATTTGTTAATATAGTTGGTAATTAAAGCCACTGCATGATTTTCAGTATACCCCATAGTAATGAGGTGATAATATGGTGGGATCTATTCCTGGACCTATAGTACAAAGTGGAATTTGTGATATTGTTATACCCTGAAGAGGCCCAAGGGTCGTAACAACGTTTATGGCGTGAGGAACTCTCATAACCGGTGGTACAAGTTATCTCCCTCACCTTCTGCCGGCAACAGGTTCTTTACATCTTCCAGCGCCTTCTTCACCTCCTCCTGGTTGGTAATGTCCATCTGCAGGACGTGGAGGCGGCTGGAGCCCCCCTTCCGTAGACGCTCCGCCCCCTCGCCTCCGGATTTGAGGACACAGGCAAATACTCGGACACCCTGACCCCGGGATTAAGGGTGATTAATATAAATACTGTAATTACATAGGTAGTTATTTAGTAAAACTGTCATACGTTTACAGTTAGTTTAGCAAGTATATATAACAATGCGGGTATACATTTAAGCATACACATATATATTGACAGCGCAAGTACCGTATACATAGACCATGTTATAAGGGCGGGGATTTTCTTCCCTTATTCTTATTTCATACTTCTCTTTGTCTTAGTTACTTCATTTGTTCTGTCAAAATAATTTCATTTCATGGTTACTTCATAACCTCAGTCTTTTGGTAGCATGGCGTGGGTTAGGGCACAAATGGGTACTGTAATTCTTGTATCAAGTCATTGGACAAAATATAGGTGAATACCGAGGGTGAACGATACCCCTAATTTACTCTTAAGAAATGGTTTATTAATATGAAATTAAATTAGGTAGAAGATGTCATTAACATAAAACTACAAGGTCCAACTCCTTGGCTTTACTCATCTGCAATTCCACTTTGATACTCTGGCTTCTTACAACATTACTGGTGGTACATTACATTAACATACAGCTACAAGGATCAACTCCTTGGCTTTACTCAACTGCAATTCCCAGTGGATACTCTTACTTCTTACAACATTACTGGTGGTACATTACGTAGACTACACCACATGACAAACTTACATATGGTACCTTCACTAGAACTGTTGTTAGTACACATGGAGGATGCACTCACAACACATAACATGTGAATACTGATACTAACAATTTTTATGGGTTCACTACCCAACATGGGATGATTATTCCCAGTTAATTATCCCCAATCATATACAACAAATACTGTGGACCATATAACTGTACGGAGTGTCCCAGGGTAGAACCCTGGCGTCTCAACAAATGAAGATCGCTGTTATGGTCGGTTGAAGTCTGACACGTGGCGAGAGTCTGGGGTCTAGTTCCCAGGACTGGAGCATTTCAATCCTGCCGAATCAGCAACATCGTTCACTACAGCTAACTGTTAGGTATCCACCAACCCCGGGCAGCCGCAATGACAGAAATTACATTCAAATCAGCTGCTACACATTCAAAGATGACCCTTAGTTGACACGGGTCTGGCGAATTTCTTAAGTTTAATTACATAAACTAATTCGAGATTGGGCTTCCCAGGAAAAAGTGGAATACATACGTTGACAACTGAAGTACCCCAAATGGGCGGGACTTACGGAGAGGGAAAACGCGTTTCTTCCTAGGGATAACTCCCCAGTTATCCACATGTTTTGCGGGCGTGGAGTATAATATGAATTATCAGATTTCAAGCAGACCAGCCGTCATCGTGACCATGACACTGTATGTATAAAATTTCCAGTGCTGTACCTAAACAGTGTAGGTATACAAATAATTGTAAACAGTAGAACAATTTGATAAAAGATGTCCCAAAAGGCCATCGGATGTTTGTTTCCGATTTTAAAGTCATCTTGGCAATGTTCCGTTTTCTGCTATTTTATTTTTCTTGCAAATTTCCAGACCATTCCCTTCCTTACTTTAGGTTTCTGTATTTCATGATAAACTCCACACACGTGAAAATAAAAAGATGAGAGTACATAGATAAATACACAAACACCATACACCCCCACACCATTCACACACATACACACAATACACACACACACACACACATACACACACACACACACTACACAAACACCATACACAAACATACTCATATAAAGCAAGAAGCACATCTGAAGGTTGTTGGTGGCTACTGACCATTTTATCCAAATGTAGTGCAAGGGCATGACCGAAGCCCGTGTCACAGCCTGTTATGAGCACCGCCTTCCTTGACATTGGGACCTGCAACAGAAAAGGGTAATGGTCAGCGGTGTCACTCTTCACGAGGACCCAGACAATAAATGTCCCCGTAACAAAATTGCACCCTAAAAGATCGCCAGGAAAATAGTGTATTTTTCACATAAATTCATCCTAAATAGTTCAAATACACGGGAAATGATTGTAATACGTGCTCATTTCAATAAGTCCATCGTTATTAATGCAAAATGAGTTGGGGTACATTTGGGAAACGAAATAAGCCTATGCTTACCCGGTTCATTTGTCTACTGTAAGGTGGAAAGCATTTGTGCATTGGCATTATTGACGTATGGATTAAAAACGTAATGATTGCTATTTGAGAACTGAAAGAGAGATTTCCAATTTCTAAACGAAACCTGGAAATATGTTAAGGTTTATGTGAAGTGTATTTGAAACCTTTCAACGCTCTGTAAACTTAAAATAGACCCTAGTTAGACAGGTGAAGCATTTATTATATATGAGACACTGACCTTCATACTTGCTAGAGCCAAGTAGATAAGAGAAGACAGGAGCCAGGCAAGAGGGAATGTCACACAACAGGAGCAGAGACCCAGCAGGTTCAGCAGGGTGGCCAGGAGGGCACTCACGCAGCCCCAGAAGAGCACCCGGCTAATCTTGTCGTATGTCAGAAACATTTTGGCGGTGGTGTCCGACCTGGGAGGAGCACTTCAAGCTGCAATAAATTTCACTGCCATTATATTGTATTAAAACTTGACCTAATGACTTTTCAAAGCAATATTCCAGCCATCTTGTTATTCAGTGTCCACACGTGGGAAAATGTTGAACATGGGCCCAATAGGACCCACAATCAAAACTTGGCGCTTGTATCAACTGTATCTTTAACACAGCAAAATGTATTTAAGCCGCCAGACTATTAGATTTAAGAACATTTCTTCCCACGAAATAAAACTCCAGTTAATATATGTGTTATTTCAATTTGTCACTTGGGAAACAGTGAAACTTGCCTCACAGTCAAACTGGACAACAGATGGTACCGACTTGTCTTCTCAGGATTTCCCCTTGGCAGACTGAGGTAACAATGAAGTCATTCCCTTGAAATTATCTATTAAAAGACTAAATTAGTACACTAGAGTGAGCCCGTATTATGCACAGGGTTTTGGGCAAAATAATAAACACAGTCAGCTGTACTACTTGCACAATGAATGTTTAACTTAACTGGGCGGAGGAGAGAGTCTGGGTGGCGGCTGTGCTGCCTGGGTGTGGTTCAAGGCTGCTCCGCCCTCTGCCGCGCAACCAACACTTGTATAAAAATCCACCAATACACTCTTTTTCTTTTTGTTTGGTTTGATATCATATCTCAGTAATCGTTTCTTCTCTGATGCTTTGATAAAATTTATTTCATTTATTGACATGGAAATATAAGAAATATAAAATACAACCACCAGCTGAAGTATATTGTTTGTAATAGAGGAAAAATTGTTTGTCTAATTCTTCTATTGAAATATTATGGTAGTTACGCAATTGGGTGAGGATGAAGCATTGGTTGTGATGTGTCCTCTATTGGGTTATTGCCACCAGCATGGCTACACTGTCACGTGCCTGAGCGCTCGGGAACTCGCTGCATCTGTTCACGCTTCCATTTCACACAAGCTACTAATAATTTGTTAATTGTACTTATTATATTATTATTGTTCTTAGTTACTTAGGTTAATTGTATATTTATGTATGTAATTTATATGCATCATTGTCTTACTCTGTTAAGTCAACTCAAGAGTACATAAGAACATAAGAAGATAAGAAAGTGGGATACTGCAGGAGGCCGACTGGCCCATACAGGGCAGATCCCTTTCACACCCATCCCAGCACTTCCATGTGCCTATCCAACTTCGTCTTGAAGCTCCCTAGCGTCCCCGATCCTACTATAGCACTCGGTAGCCTATTCCACATATCCACAACTCTATTACCAAACCAGTGCTTGCCTATATCCTTTCTGAATCGGAATTTATCTAATTTAAAGCCATTTGTTCTAGTTATTTCGTTATTACTGAGCTTCAGAACATCTTCCATTTTACCCTTGTTAATCCCACTTACCCACTTGTACACCTCTATCATATCTCCCCTAACTCTACGCCTCTCTAATGAATGTAAGCCTAAGCTTTTCAGTCTTTCTTCATATGGAAGGTTTCTAATATTATGGATCATTTTTGTCATTCTTCTTTGTACTCTCTCCAAAGAATCTATGTCCATTCTATAATAAGGACACCAGAACTGAACCGCATAATCCATGTGTGGCCTCACTAATGCTAGGTAAAGTTTCAAGATAACGTCAGCAGTTCTGTTACTCACAGACCTAGATATGAACCCAAGAATCCTGTTTGCCTTGTTGCGAACGCTAATACATTGTTTTCTAGGTTTCAAGTCGTTGCTAACAAATACACCTAGATCTTTTTCACAAACTGAGTTTTCTATTTCCGTGTTACCTAGTTTATACTTAACGTTTGTATTCGTCTTCCCTATCTGTAGTACCTTGCATTTATCAGTATTAAAATTCATTTGCCAGTCTACTGACCACTCATGTAAGGTATCTAGATCTCTTTGAAGGTGTTCAAAGTCACTGTCTGAATTTATCACTCTCCCCATTTTGGTATCATCTGCAAATTTACTAATCCTACTAGTTATGCCTAAATCAAGATCATTAATGAATATAACAAACAGCAGAGGGCCTAATACAGATCCCTGGGGAACTCCGCTTTTGACCGCACCCCAGTCTGACTTTAATCCATTTATGCTGACTCTTTGTTTCCTACCAGTTAACCATGACCTAATCCATTTTAATACTGATCCACCTATTCCATGTGCTTCTACCTTCCTTATCAATCTCTCATGAGGGACTCTATCGAATGCTTTACTGAAATCTAAATAAATTATATCATATGACTTATCATTATCTACCGCTTCATATACTTCTGAGAAAAAGCTAAGCAAATTTAGAGACAAGAACGTCCCTGGGTGAACCCGTGCTGAGAAGAATGAATTAAGTTGAATGTTTCAAGGTGGCTTCTGATTTTGTAGCAATAATTGACTCTAGCAACTTGCCTATGATTGACGTGAGACTAATGGGACGGTAATTTGATGCTATTGATTTATCACCCTTTTTGAAAATCGGAACTACATTTGCAAGTTTCCAAGCTTCTGGCACTAGGCCCGATTCTAATGACTTATTAAATAAAACTGCTAATGGATTACTCAACTCATCTCTACATTCTTTTAATATTCTAGCATATACCTCGTCTGGACCAGGCGATTTATGAGGCTTCAGTTTGTTAATTACTTTGAGCACATTGTTACTAGTAATATTGATATTCATCAACATATTTTCTATACTGTCGTTATATACCTTATGAACTTCTGGAAACTGTGCTAGGTTTTCATTTGTGAATACGGAGCAAAAATGACTATTTAACGTACTACACATTTCTAACTCATCATCAGTCATTTCTCCTGTCGTAGTTTTAAGGGGACCTATTGTATCTCTAACCTTTGATTTATACAGTTGATAAAAAGCTTTGGGGTTATTTTTCGATTCGTTTGCTACCTTGATTTCATAATTTCTCTTTGCTTTCCTAATTTCTGTTTTTACCTGTCTTGTTAGGTTCTGATAGTAACCAAGTAAGTGATTTTCGCCTTTCTTAACTTTTCTATATACTCCTTTCTTTTTCCCTAGAAGATCTAAGAGTCTATTATTCATCCATTTTGGTTGGTTCCGTATCGATCTGAATTTTCTTTTTGGGATGTGTTTATTTTGGGCATTATTGATTGTCGCAATAAATTGTTCATAAGTAGCTGCTAAATTAAATTCGGGGTTATCCCGTCCTAAGTTGACAGTTTCCGGAGGTGTGGGGGGGATTAATCTTTTGACCATAGGGTCATCCATTAGGTCTCTCCTTATGCTACCGTAATTAGCCTTCCTAAAATCCGGGATCAAGGCCGAATTTTCCTTCTTCCTGCCATCCCATATTATGTTAAAATATATGGCTTTTTGATCACTGTTTCCTAGTTCGTCTCCAATCCCAACATCTTTTACTAGGTTTTCATTATTACTGAGAACTAAATCGAGGATATTATTTCCTCTAGTGGGCGAGTTTATGAATTGATATAAAAAACTATCCTGTACTACTTCTAGAAAATCTTCAGATTCATTATCGCTAAGTTGATTTTTCCAATCTATGCCTGAAAAGTTGAAATCGCCTAGAATACATACATTGTTTCTATCAGATGCCTTCTTTATTTCCTCCCATAGCAATTTACCATCGTTCCTACTCAAATTAGGTGGTCTATATATAACACCAATGACTACGGATTCACTGCCCTCACCAATCTCTACCCAAATACTTTCATTGTCGCTATTTGTTTTAATGTTTGATTTATTGCAGCTTTTTAATGACACCCTGATATACACTGCTACACCGCCACCTCTCCTTCCTACTCTGTCAAATTTAAATAGGTTATATCCTGGAATATGAAATTCTGCTAAAAAATGCTTGCTGTTTGAATTTATCCATGTTTCCGTTATTGCAATTATATCTATGTTCTCTTTACTAACAATGGCCCTGAGCTGGTCCATTTTGTTACACAAGCTTCTACTATTAGTATAATAAACACTCAATATATTTCTTCCGTTTCTATCTGTTTTACATTTATTACTTTGATGTTTGTTATTATGACTAACTATATTTTCAGCATTATCTACTTCTGTTTCACTACTTCCCAGGAACTGCTTGTTTTTTGACTCCCATTTTCCCCGACCCCTCTCTACTGGCGAAACCCCCCCTTCGGAGTGACAATTTCACGCTCCAGGGATGCAGACAACGTCTTTACCCCCTCACGAGACAAGTGTACTCCGTCGCGACAGTACAGGTAGTCGTTGCCATAACGACGAGTAATATTAATTAATTATATAAAATATCCAGCAAATGTCTAGATCACGTGATGATGAGACGCGCTTCTCAGCGGCGTACCCACGCCACCCCAGTAGCGAAAATCCGTGGCATAGGTTAGACGTGTCTATTCGTTCTCTAGATTTGACCTTTGTCTAGTGCTTTATCAAGTCTCTGCAATGCCCTAGGGGTATCAGGTATTAGTGACACGTTTAGTTAGGCCTAGGAAGGGATCCTGGTGGTAAGGTATCTCCTGTTTGGTAGGGATAATCATTTTGTATTGATTGTTGTATATATATATTTCGTATGTCTTGTGTAATATAGTAATGTTAAGTAATATTTGTTTGGTCTAACTCCTTACAGTATAGTTTCGCCCTTCCGGCATCACTCTTATTTTATTATACAATTACTTATTCACTTAAATTCATGTTTGCTAGTCATTACTCCCTTTAGAACATAAATTGAATTTATTAATTATCTTCCCTTTTGTGATTCACTTATTTCAACTGTTCTTACTTTTTCAAGTACATTTAGTTGAGTAGGTATTTGGTGGATATAATTATTGCCGTGTTCCCTATTTGTACCTTTATTTGTTAATAACTTGGGGTAGGATTCACTCCCCAAGTATAAAGGGTAGTGGGATCGCGACAACACCAACTTAGATCACATGAAGATTAAGCAACCCGGTATATTTCACCTGACCTACTTATCTAAACCCCCCATATAGCATTAAAGGTTTAAACATCGGGTGAGGTAAGTTGGGGTGCCTAATTTATGTGACAAGCAGGGCCGGATTTACCTACTTGTGGGCCCCCAAATTTATAGAAATGTTTGCATGTTTCAATAATCAATTATTTTGCAATGGCCAAATGTCATCAAATATTACCTAATATTATAATATTATAATGTAAGAAATAAGAATGTCAACACAATGTGACACATCATTACTTTTAATCAAATTAGTTTTATATCATGTACATCTTATATATGGGAATAATGAAAGAAATACAAATAACTTGAAGCATAATCAATTTTGCAAGCACATGAAGTACAGCAAACTGTGTGAATTTCAAAATAAATTCTTCCTACTTTTTTCATGGAAAATTTGTCAATGATACTGTTTGTGTCAAGGGCATGTAGGAGGCCAGATTCGATGCATAATAATGAAAGTGGGTTTAATCTGGTTTGTCCCATGGTAGACCTCAGGTGATTTTTCACCCTAGAAAGAGTAGAGAAAGACCTCTCTCCTTCACAATTTGTAATGGGGATGGCAAGGGAAATTCTTACCAAGATATTAATGTTTGGAAAGGCAGTTGTCAAAATACCATCTTTGGACCTC